TGGAAAACCACTTAACGTCTAAGACGCACACGCCAACACAAGCATACGCACATACCCTTACAAGTCCCCCACACTAGTCCAATCACATTTAGTTCGCTCAGCCGAAATAAACAATAAATCACTAAAATCATCATCAATATCTGCACAAGCCGGTAGACTAGTATGCATTCTTGTGCTTCTACCATGTAGACATTCTATAAAAATGTTTAAATTTTCCCAAATTGTTGAAAGCTTCGTACGCACACAAACAAAACGAAATCATGCAATTACAAAACCACACCCAATTCATTCATGACAATACGCATATTTAATAACATTTTAGATGCACACTCTCATTCATTATCTCTGGCCATTTTTCATGCAGGCTACCAAGTCGACATTCTGTCCAGCGATACGCACACGCCACCATTATAACAATGCACACACCACCACGCCACGCATACGCCCGAAGCCTAATACGCACAAACATTAGCATACCATGCATTCTACACCAAAAAACTAGACGCCAGCTACGACGGCACATAATACCCAATACCATTCAGTCCGGCAATTGATTCATTTTTAAACATTCGGAAAACCATTCAACGTCAAAGATGCACATGCCAACACAAGTATCACATACCCTTACAAGTCCCCCCACTAGTACAATCACATTTAGTTCGCTCAACCGAAATAAACATTACATCACTAAAATCATCATCAACATTCGCACAAGCCGGTAGACTAGTATGCACCTACCCATGTTCGTCTTATCATCCAACATCAACATCTACAATTAAGGCTACCACTCCCTCCGTAACCATTCCTTGTCCTAATGCAGTCTAACAATTCTGTTACACATGCACACACGTCCCATTCCACACTCTTCGTATTACATTGAATTTTTAATAAACACCAACACAACTCAGCCCACAAAAACGCACACACCAGACCATAGTTATGCACTAACAGGAATTTCTAGACTCCATTCTCGTTTCTTGAACAACCCTTCTGCTTCCCGGATAAGTAAACCACTACCGTTGGTGCGTTTTCTTTCCGCAGACTTCCTCACGCAACTTTAACGTTCAAGAGATGGGGTAATTATTTATTGTTGTCTCTTTCCATTCATATTCTCCTTAATATAATCCAAAACATTGCAATTCCAATCTACCCATAATTAAACAAATAACTACAATTACTATTTAATCCTTTTCATTTCATTATATCATTTTTTTACTTTAATATTATATATATATATATATATATATATATATATATATATATATATATAATATAATATAATATATATATATACTATCTACTATACTAATAAGAGCCCAAGAGAGTTAGGCCTATAATGGGTTGAAAAAATGGCGGTCACAGATTTTAATCAAATGAATGGCTCAGATTGATTAAAAGATTGATAAGATTAAATTTTACACTAAAATTTCCTAAAATATCCACACACCGTTACTAATTCCGTTAAAATTTTAAGAATTTCCGTTAGTTCACCGTTAACTTACTCATTGATTTCAAAAAAAAAAAAAAAAAAAAAAAAAAAAAAAAAAAAAAAAAAGGTCTTAGGTTCGAACCTCATCCCAATCAAAGTTGGCATAATTAGTACTCTATTTTACTCTTATTAAATTATATAAATAATAATTTAGTAGCTACAACAAAAAATTATAGATATGCATTTCTTTAATTTAGAATTATGTGTCCACAATGTATTTATTCAAAAAAAATTATTCATTATCAATAAATTAAATAAGAGAAATAATTGTAGTAGTTATATTGTCTTTATTTTTCTACAATATAAAAATTCTTTATATTCAAATTTATTAATTGATTATATTCGCTACATTGTCCTTACAATGTCTTAATTTAGTAAAAAAAAATTATTCATTATCAATAAATTAATTAAGAGAAATATTTTCATTAGTTATATTGTCTTTATTTTTCTCAAATGTAAAAATTTTTACATTCAAATCCATCAATTGATTATATTCACTACATTGTCTATTATCTTTTTTGTGCACTATTTTTCTAATTAAATATCAAAGTTATAATACAAAATAATGCTATATATTTATTTAACAAGTATTTTATTAATACCATGAAAAAATTAAAAAAATATATAATTAATAAAGCCAACCATATTAACTACTTGAGAGATTTTGTGACAAAGAGAGTATCCAAATCACACAACAAATTGAAGTGAGAACTACCTTGCAATGTCCTTGTTTGACAATCAGCAGTTAGCGGATTATATTAGCGGATTTGACCAACGAATTTATTTAATTATTAACATTGGGTAGAAAAAATGACCGCCAAATTATTAAATCAAATGAATGATTCAAATTGTTCAGGTTTTAATTTTTTTTAAAGTTTTTCTAATTTATCCATAATTATATGATTATCCATTTAACTTTTTCGTTAAATACCGTTAATTCACCGTTAGTCTAATTCGAATATTAACGTCTAATATAGAATTATAATTACACCATTAATCTAATTCTAATATTAAAGTCTTAATAGAATTTAACCACAAATCCTAATGTCGAAATCTCCTCAAATAATATTAGTATATATTTAATATTTTATGCCCTAATTTTTATTTGTTCTCCCATATGTCCCGTATTTGGTTTCAACCATACCTATACAATTATTTTATTGACAATTATAATCAATCTTGACTATATTATCTTGCATTTGTAATCTTAGAATTACATATTTAACACGCACGGGCTTAGCTTAATGGTTTAGTGGGCAGTATTTGGGAGAAGAGACCAAGGTTTGAACCTCGGCGGCGGCAGTGCGGGAATTATGTCCAAAGTGGGCAGATTCCTTGTTCGCACCGGCATTTGGTCCTGTCTGCTGAACCATTGAGTCACCGTGATTTACAACTTCCCACAATGCTCTGTCGAGTCAGAGTGTGGGGGGCCCTTGGGGTTGGGGACTCAAACTTTGGGAGAAGAATTACCTATTTAAATACGCAAATTCAACCTTCAATTATCTATGCATGAACAATTTCAATATAATCTTGCCTTAATATACTTTAAAGTACTTATTTAAAAAAAAAAAAAAACATTGGGCATTATCCCTATCGCGCAATGCGCGTAAAAAACTAGTATATATATAAGTTTGATCAAATGCGGCCGCGCCTTCCCGTGCGGTTGGTGCGACCACTTGAAAAACGCACCAATAGTGTTAGGAAAATGCACAACAATGAAATGCACAAATGCACTAAAAAACGCACAACATACCAAAAAAAAAATGCTCCATAACTCCCCACACCTAATTGTACATTTCCGAACACTGTGTGATGCTTTTATGCATATCTATTGGTGCGTTTTTGTTGATGCATACCTAATGGTGCATATTTGCATAACATTGGTGCGGCCGCACTGATCACGTGTTAAAGCATGATCGCACCTGAACTCTGCTCTATTTGTTTCGACCATTAATAACCTGTTTCCAAATAACTGAGTGCAGTGGCTAAGAAGTCCCTACAAACCAAATTTCTTTTTTAATTGGAACCGAACGGTGCATCACCGAATTGGTGCATATAAGCACTGAATGGTGCTTCTCTTTCTCAGCACCGAATTGATTCTTCACCAATCCCAAACATAATTAAGCTTCCAAAGAATAATTAACATACTTAGGCTTGAATTCAAAAAAAAAAAAAACATACTTAGGCTTAATTACAATCATTCGTATATTGCCTAATTAGGCACAAATGGAGGTGCTACGAAAAGATTGCTAATTTAATTAGCATCTAAACTTATGCAGTTTTGGCTTCCCTGTAATAGGTTCACTTTGAATATTTTTTCATTTACCTAGGATTGGATTTTGAGTTGTGCAAGCAATAGTATAGAGTCTCCAAATTTTAGAGGGTCCCCAAATTTTAGAGGACTCGATATTTAATTTTTATCTAGATAGTTAAGACATTAAAGAAAAATAAAATTACAATTAATTTTAAAAAACTCCATATAGAGGAGTGGTAGTAATGTGTATATATAGTGTTTCATTTTAGAGGTCATAAGTTTAAATCTTATTTCTCTTTTTCTTTTTTAATCCTTTTGCCTTTTCTTTTTTTATTCTTTGTGCACAACAACATTTTAGCACCTTATTATTATTAGAGTTTTTTGCACTTTTGGTCCCACGACTATAATAACACTGTCAGAATTGATCCACGACTGTCAAATCTTGTAATTTTAGTCCACGACTATTGTTTTTTGGCAAAAATGGTTCTTTCGACCACTTTTCCGTTGAAATTCCACCATAATAAAATTTCATTATTTTTAAGAGGGCTAAATTTGACATTTCGCATAATAAACTTGCAAGACCTACCGCTCCTCTGTAATTACCCACGAACACGAAAACAAAATAAAATCCTTAACCCGTCCGCTCCTCCGCTAAACGACAAATAGAATTGATCCTGTGCATAAGAACAGAAGCAAAACCTGCTGCTAAGAAAGAAGCTACAAACAGTTTTCCATAATAAATAGGTCATAAATTCAATTTAATAATAAATAGCTCATAAATTTAATTTAATAATTGGATAAAAACATTCGAAATTGTCATATTTATTATTGTAATAATATTTACAATTATGAAATTAATATACAATTAATTCATACCCATCATTAATAACATGCCATTAGCACCAAATCCGTATATATATATATTTATATATATAGCACCGAATTGGTGCATATAAGCACCGTATGGTGCTTCACCAATCCCAAACATAATTAACATACTTAGGCTTAATTATCATCATTCGTATATTTAGGCACAAATGGAGATGCTAAGAAAAGATTGCTAATTTAATTAGCACCTAAACTTACGCTAAGGTTAAGTTCACTTTTAGAATTAATTTTTCATCCATTTTGAGCATACAAATATCAATATCTTCATTATCTTACAGTAAAATCCAAATCTACTTTGACCCGATCCAAATAAAAAATGTACTCACATATATTAGTACCACAAAATAGTCACTAAAAATTGTCATTTTATGCTAGAATTTCAACAGTAAATAAATGACCAATCCTTAGACATTGGATCATATCATATATGCAAAATACATTAAAAATTTATTACAATTGCTTTTAATTGTATCACTTTCTGTTGGTTTTACAATTGCTTTTTGGTGTAATTGATATGATTACCCACACGGCCACACTGTTGGTATCACTTTCTGTTGATTTATTTCATCTTCCTGGAATACGATGGTGGCTTGGATGGGGCAGGTGATTTGAATGAATTAACAGCCAAACAAACTCCGATTGCTTGCTCGGCACCGTGCATCAATCTCTTTTCTGCAGATGCGTCTTGTTTCAAATCTTTGAGTATCTTAAAGCAATCTTCAAGACTAGTTAATGCTTTTGGGAGTTTGGCCTTCAAACCTTTACTCTTATCCTCGTCGCTTTGCCTCGTCATGCCCACAATCTCCAGGCTCTCCACCAAACTGAGACATTCAACCCATCAAATCTGACCCGACAAATTATATATGCGGCTGTTTAGGCGCTAGGCGTCTCTAGGCCAGATGAATTAACCCCCCATGCGGCCATTTAGGCCACCTACGTGCTATGTGCCTCTAGGACAGATGAATTACCCCATATGTGACCGTTTAGGGCGGCTACGAGCTAGGTGTCTCTAGGCCAGACCAATTACTCCCTATGTAGTTGTTTAGGCGGCCGCCTAGGTGCCCAACTCGATCGAATTCGGATGAGTTAACTTGTCCAATTCGACAGAGTTAACTCTGGCAAGTCGTCCGTATATATATATATATATATATATATATATATATATATATATATATATATGACATACATCTCCACACACATGTACTATTTTTTTTTAGTTATTTGTGTCTAGGCGCTACTCTAGCATCCGATTAGCACTTAACGCCTAACGACTATTGCAACCATGATTATAAATACTTACTTTTCTTCCGTGTCTCTGTAGGGCTTTTCACACGCGGGGTTTCCCCACGTACTCGCATTGGCTTGTTGATATATAGCCTTAACTATTGCCTCAGTTATTGCCTCTTCCCAATTTGTTGCTCCCTTCACCGTATTCTCGCACAGCTGTTTGTCCACGGCGGTGGCACAGAAGTTGTTGGATGCATCAACATGGGAATGGGAGGCGAAGATTAGATACACTACAGGCAATGCCACAATAATGTCTCTCTTCAAACCTACCATTTTCAGTTGTGAATTTAATTTGCTTCACAAAATTTATTATTACTATTTTTTTTGTTTTATTATTATTATTATTATTATTATTTTTTTTTTTGTTGTTGATTTTCAAGATTTTGTCGGAATTTGAATAAAAGATGTTGGAGGAGATATTGTTATACAAAAGTGAAATTTAAGGATGATCTCAAAATACTATGTGGTTATCCCTTTTTTACTCAATAATCTCTTGAAGTATTGGAATTTTCAAACTAAAACTCTAACCATGCGTGAAATTAAAACATAATTTATTGTTAATAAGTTGATATAAAGATATACGTACGGGAGTACATAATTAAACAAAAATTTGATGTGATAACCGGGTATATTTACTAAGTACACCCGGTACACCAAGATTGTTTTGAATCACTTAATAATTTATCCCACTCATTTGATCGATCCATAAACTGTTCTCCAACATCACGAAACATTTCATTTAACCAATCTTTAGAGTCATCATGTTTATTTGCTTCATTGTCAACATACATGTTAGACGTACTAATCATATGTTCATTGCTACTTTCTCAACTTACTGAAGCACAACGAGTCAATATCGTCCACACTGGGGCTTAAACACATGACCTCGCATTTGGGAGAGCACTTCATGCCACTAGACCACAAGGTCATCGACATATCCATTTTATATAACTTTGATTAATTTCATCACAGATTATATGATCATATATGTCGTTTGCACTTAATTTTCTTATATTATAACATTTCTTACAAGGACAAAAGAACCTCTCATTATTATTCGGGAGACGACGTTTTGCAAAGTCTAAAGATGGTCTAACTATGTCTTCATATTCCTTACTAATACAAGAAACATTCATCCAACTTTTATCCACTAGTACAGAAACAATCATTCGCGTCCAAAGTAAAGCATAATTCGTGTCCAAAGTAGCTGGGACGCAGATGTCGGGGACGCTGATTGTATATACAATCAGCGTCCAAAGCTACTTTGGACGCGAAAAATGATTAATCGCATCCAAAATTGAAGAACTTTGGACGCGATTAATCTCATTACAATGTTGACTACTGACTTTGCGCGTCCAAAGTTGGTCAACTTGGTCGACTTTGGACGCGATTTATCATTTTTCTTTTAATAAAATGATAATTCGCGTCCAAAGTAAGTTGAAGAACTTTGGACGCGAATTATAGTTTTTTTTTTTTTTTTTTTTAATTTGATAATAAATCCAGTTTTGTTCCTGTACAAAAAATATTATTTTCATCCTGTACATGCAGTCACAACCACTACCACTTCAAAGCTTTCAAGTAAAGTTCAATACATCATTACGCCAACACTTTAGCACTAAATTAAACTCCAATACATTCAATTCACAACATTTCAAAGTTTTCAATACATCATTGCCAACACTTTATAGCATGTACTAAATTAAACTTCAATACATTAAATTCACAACACTTCAAAGTTTTCAACACATTTAAACTACACTACTTCAACACATATATAATCTAAAAACATAATAAGTGTTAATACAAGTTATGTCCTTGATTTTTGTCCCTTTTTTATATTCTAATAAATATATACATCTTGCTTTAATTGTTGTACATTTGATTTGTATTGGACAAAATTACCCTTACACCGTTATAACACCGTTAGTATTTAATATGTCCACCAATCTTACCATACACCTACATCTATCATATATTTTTCCTATTTTTAGTTATCATTTTATTATAATTATCATATAACAATTAATTTAATTATAAATTATATTTTAATTAAATATTTATATGAATATTAAATTTTAATTATAAATAATATGTATATATATTATTTGTGTATACATATCAATATATCATATATGTGGGTGTTAGCTTAGTATTATTTGTAAATTATTATTATATAATATATATATATATATATATATATATATATATATATATATATATATATATATATATATTGTTTGGATCACTTTAAGGATTTGTGAAACATAATTTTAACTAATTTTTTAAATTTTGTTAGTTAACAATATTTTAATATTGGGCATAAGTTTTCGCGCATCGCGCGTACAAAATGCTAGTAAGCTAGATAAGTACCAACAATTCATCATTACAATTAACTAATATAATTAACTCATAGTTCAAAAATTTATATACATTCTTGTGTAAAATATTTAGACCAAACCTCACGAATCTCATCAATTTGCGCTTCTGAATAAGGCTTTCTATTAAATAATAATTCCTACAAAAATTTAAAATAATCAAATAATTAGTTTTAACATTAAAGTGTAATTTAAAACTATTTACTTTTAATAAATTTTACATAGCAATTGTTTTAACTCCAATTTTGTCGCACATCCGATTAAGGCATCTACAACATATGTAGATAATTAATAAAAATGAACGACTAAAGACAATGTTTTAAATATAAAAATATTATAAAAAATACTTACATTATAAATATTTGCAATATGGTCAATAATATATATATATATATATATATATATATATATATATATATATATATATATATATATATATATATATATATATATATATATATATATATTTAAAGTATTTGTATTACTTACAATTTTATCCAACACTCCCTTCGTTTTTTCGTTGGGAATGTAATAACTTCCATCTTCGGATTTTTTAGATCGTGCTCGAACCCAATCCAAACTACGATTAGTAGATGATATGGTCGAGGTAATAGCAGCACAAGAAGATTGTGAAGACAATGGGTCGCATATCAACCACTCAGACTGCTTTCCAACATAGCCCATACACCCTAAATAGTGACGATGCACATTTCGCGCTTGCAACTCCCTATACTTTTGACTGTTGGCCTAAAAATAAAATTTATTATTTAATAATATGTTAATAATAATAATACATGATTATTAAGCAAGTAAATTATGTAGTGTACCTTGGCAGCTTCAGTTTCATGCGTGGTTACAAATTGCTCCCATTTTTTTTTCATCCATGAACTTATATAACTCACAGGGAGAGCTATATTTTTCGTTCGGTTTGTTGATGAAGTCATGCACCAATCTTGTTTTGAAATCTTTCCAACGTATCCGTGCATGGACCAAAACATGACTTCTTCTTGACTCAAGGATATTAAACTCTTTCTGAATAACAACAATAAAATAACAAATAATTAGGCCTTTATTGACACTAACATATATAAACTAATGAACTCAAAACTAAAATGAAATAATGATCAATATATAAATTAAATTATTGACTATTACCTTAAGTTCATCCCAGACTGCATATTTAACCGCAGTTGGAACAAGACGACAGTTTTGAATGTTTATGTCTATGTGAATATGAACCACAAGGCCAAGGTAATTTGAGTACTTCCTTGCATTTGGGCTCAGAGGCCTATTATTCTCATCGAACTCAATTACCTTAGACTCATCCTCTGGTCTCTTCTTTAACATTTTACTGCAAGTTGTAGCTCCTCTTGCTTTACGCACTTTGCTCTCTGTTCCCTTTGAAGATTCCTCCACCACCGGATCTGTGTGATCATCAGCCATGTATATATATACCTGCACATGCATCAGATAACTATGTTATAAAGAACATCTTATAAAATATAACCATGTTAAAAAATAATAATAAGATTACATTATAGAAATTATACTGTCGGATGGTCAATCCTCAACCCTTCTTTATGATCAGTACACATGTAATTAGTATGAATGTTATCTTCACATAAAGTCACTTGTTGAATACCAATAGAAAATGGTGGGGTTTCATCAAATTGGTCATATTCCTCTTCATCAACAACATCACCAACACCAAGAATACTTCTTTTGCCTTGTAAGACAATTGACCACTTACTATCAATAGGATCAGAAACATAGAAGACTTGTTTAGCTTGAGATGCAGGTATAAACGGTTCATCATGATATCCAAGCCGACCAAAATCAACTAAGGTAAAACCCAAATCATCTACACGGACACCCCGCCTGTTATCAACCCAAGAACATCAGAATAGAGGAATCCTAAACACCTTATAATCAAGTTCCCAGATTTCATCAATGACTCCATAGTATGACATAGTAGCATCTACCGGGTTAGTATCTTTAGCACTAGAATACTCTCTTGATTGTGCTACTAATGTCACTCCACTATTTTGCACTATACTTTTTTGATCTTGACATTTTGTGTAAAACGTATACCCATTAATATCATATCCCTCATAAGTGCTCACAACAAATCTAGGGTCATACGATAACCATCTAATGGTTTCAGTGATATTATTTGGCATTTGAGATAACTCTTGCATCACTGTATCTTTGAACCATGTGGTAAATGTAGAATTGTGTTCTTTTGTCACCCACATTTCACCCTTAGAAGGATTTTGTTGCCTTATAATAGACAAGTGTTGTTCCAAATATGGATGAACCTCAGAAAGCTGCTGCAGTACGAGATGATGTGCTTGATTTTGGATTATTTGACTTGGGACATGTGTTTTAAACCCAATGGTACCTTTTCCTGTGAGTCTTCCCCCATGACGTGATTTAGAAACACCAATGGACTGAACATTAGCCAAATAATCAGTACAAAAATCAATGACTTCTTCAGCGCCATAAGCTTCAATTATACTCCCCTCTGGCCGATATCGATTTCTCACATATCCTTTCAAAATTCCCATGTATCTCTCAAATGGATACATATACCTCAAGAATATAGGACCACACATTTTAATTTCCCACACTAAGTGAACTGTTAAATGCACCATAACATCAAAAAATGATGGAGGGAAATACATTTCAAACTGGCATAAAGTTACTACCACATCAGCTTGCAAAGAATAAAACACCTCAAGATCAACAACTTTACTACTAATGACATTGAAAAAGTAGCAAAGCTTTGTAATTGCTTGTCTAACATGGTTAGGTAATATGCCTCTAATAGCAATAGGTAACATATGTTGCATTAGCACATGGCAATCATGTGATTTCATACCAACCAATTTAAGGTCCTTCATTGAAACAAGCTTTTTAATGTTAGATGAATAGCCCGAAGGAACCTTGACCATTTA